TGCAATACTATATAGTATGTTGATTAGTGCACATTATGATTAGATCTGCACTTATCTCTGACTATTGGATTGAACTTCTAACTCTAATTGTTCTCTAACATCGTGATCTGATTCTATGATTACCTTTTTCTTTTCACTGTCTAGTAAAATAAACTCATTAAATGTCACATCTCTGCTGATAATCAACGTTGGAGACTTGGTATCACTACACCACAACTTGTAGTCTTTTACTCTAGATGTATACCCTAGAAATATACAATTTTTTTGCTATCGACTCAAGTTCACCATCCTTACCATGTGCATAAGTAGGATAACAAAACACTTTCAACTTTGAGTAATTAGTAAGTGATCCAAACCATACCTCAAAAGGAGTTTTATCATCAATAGTTTTGAATGGAGATCTATTCACCAAAAAACTAGTAGTGTTCACAGCCTAAACCTAAAATTCTTGTCCCAAACCTAAATGAGACAATATGTCCCATGCCTTATCACAAAGTGTCCTATTTATACGTTCTACAATACCATTTTGTTATGGTGTCCCAACGCAAGTGCAGTGTCTCACTATTTCTTTTGTACTATAAAAATCATCAAACACATGATTGCAAAATTCTAACCGATTGTCGATCTTAAGACACTTGATCTACTTCTTTGTCTGCTTTTCAATCATGATCTTCCATGTGACAAATGTTGAAAATGCATCTTTCTTAAACTTCATAAAGTATACCCAAACCATCCGAGAATAATCATCAATCAGAGTAATAAAATATATGATACCATTTTAGAGGGAGTTCTCGATGGACCCCATAAATCAGAATGGATATAATCCAATTTATCCTTGGTCTTGTGCATTGCTTATTTGTTGAATTTCATCCTAGTTTGTTTTCTAAACACACAATGTTTACAGAAATCTACGGCTTTTTCTTTATAACCGTTCAACAAATTCTGTATGCCCAACACAAAAAGTCCCTTGTCACTTATATGACTTAGGCACATATGTCACGACTTAGTATGATTTTGATCACTGTTATTTGATGTTACAACATCTTTCCTAGAAATTGTATTGCCTTTAAGAGTATATAATATAAAATTTCAAACTGTCTTTCATAAATACCATAGAGCTTTTGCACACTCTAAGAATACTATTTTCTGCATGAAATCTGTACCCTTGAAAATCTAAAGTAGAAAGAGAAATCAAGTTCCTTTTTTTCTGAAGAACATGCCAACATTCAATGGTTTTGACAGTTCCATAAAACATTCTTAATCTGATGTCACTAATTCTATTTACAGTTAATGGACTATTATTGTCTATGTACATAGTATCATTTATTTGTTTTTATGTAGCAAACTAATATTTGTGTGGACACATATGAAATGTAGCACTAGTATCAAGAATTCAAGAATTTTTTTTATGATCAGAACTCATATATAAGACTTCAACTATGACTATTACTATCACTATCATCAAAAGTATTGTTGTCGACTGAATTAGCAGAGTTCTCTTGCGTCTTTTCTTTTTTATCTCTCAACTTGGGATAATTTCTCTTAAAGTGACCTTGATCCCCACATTTATAACAGTTTACCTTCTTAGCTCTAGATTTTGATCTATTTTACTTTTTTTTTTTTCCCCTATTCACCAAACTCTCTCTTTACGTTCTATACTTTAGGAATTTTTTTTTTAATTTCTTTGATTTTAATGCATCACTGACATCATCCATAAAATATTATCCTTCTTGTATAGCAAAGTGTTAATAAACATCTTAAATGATGGTGGTAGTGAACATAATACAATTAGGGTTTGATCATCATTATCAATCTTGATATCTATATTATTCAAGTTCATAATGATATAATTAAAAACATAAAAATACTATTGAATGAGTGTATAATCACTCATTTTAGATTGTACAATCTTTTCTTCAAATAAAGGAGGTTCGTCAGTGATTTTGCAGAGTATAATTCTTTTAATTTCTTCCATGTAGTTGAAGGAAAAACTTCTTCTGCAATCTCCCACAGAACATTATCGGTTACACTCATGAAAATAGCACATAAAACTCTATCTTATAAATATGCTTTTTCTGTCTCTCCCATACCATTTAAGAATTTTTCTTGAATTACTTTTCATAATCTTTGTAGTATCAGAGACGATCTCATTCTAATTTTTTTTTTATAAACTGAGACTCGTTTTACCATCAAATTTTTCTATCTTAGACTTCATGAATGCCATCTCGAATTCCTAAGTTGTGCACAAAAAATAGACAAATAGAAAAAAATAACACTGTTAGAAAATAAAAAATCACTCTCAGGGGAGCACCACCGTTCAAAAAACACCATCGCACACAACTGGTAGAGTCTCATGCTCCTTCATGCCCCGCCACATGTGCGACCGCCGGAGCTGTCATGTGCCGCCACTAGAGTTGCCATGTGCCACCGCCAGCTACCACATGTTGCCACCAGAAATCACCAAAACACCTCAAAAAAGGCCAATGGTTTTAAATCTAGCACCAATCTAGTAAGATCGCACCGAGGGGACACTGCAAATTGTCTTCGTGCAAAATGGGCCGCCACGCATCTTCTTCTTCTCAAACAAGCTCCATCGTGCCTTCTCTTTCTGGCTTTTCTAGTTTCACACACAAAAGGGTGTGAATCGTCCTCCTCAATGCCACAGGAGCA